TCCTTCCATTACTTCTCTCTCTGATTCCAGATTTCCTTTGATAAAGACCCTTGTAATTACATTGGGCCTAGCAATATAGAATATTATCCCCTCTGAGGATCACTAGCCATAAAGTCCCCTTTACCATGTAAGGCAATGTACTTGTAAGTATTGGGTATTAGGATGTAGGCACCTTTGAGAAGCTTATTCCACTTACCAAAATCAGTGAACATGGTGTGAGGCCAAAGAAAGTGGGGGATACTATGGTCCAGGTCTAGAATGTCCCCCATGGGCTCACGTGTTTAGGGGTCAATCTTTTGCAAAGTATTGCATCATGAAGGCACTAAGCTCATCGGTCGTAGCTAGATGAGCTTTTCAGAATTAGGGCCTGATTGGAGGAATCAGGTTACTGGGGAGACACTACTGGAAGCGTATATCTCCACGCTTCTCTGGCTACCTGGCCATGGGGTGAGCAGCTTTCTTCTGCTGATCTTTCTGCCTCACCTCAGGCCTAAAAGACAGAGCCAGTTGAAACCACAAACCAAAATAAAACTTTCCTTTTAAAAGTTACTTTTGGGGCTGGTGAGATGGCTCAGTGGTCTAAAGCACCTACTTAGAACAAGCTTAGCAAAGCCCAGGGACCACGGTTCAATCCCCCAGCACCACATGCTAGCCAGCCTGCCCCCTGGTGGACTAAGCTGGCCACACACACACACACACACACACACACACACATAAATAAATAGTTACTTTTCTTAGGTATTCTGTGACAACAACAACAAAAAACAAAACTGACCAACATAACAGTGCTTCCAAATTTTCAAGGAAAACTAGAAATATCTTCTCTTCTTCTCCCTCCTCCTCTCTTCCTTCTCCTTTCTGTTTTTTTTTCACCTGGGTCTTCACAGTCTCACTAGTGCTATCAGGGTGTCACTGAGAAACCAAAGCCACTCTAGGTGTTTTGAGTTCGAGGAAATTTAATACAGGGAATTAGACAAATATAGTGTTGGAAGCCTGGGAAGTCAAGGGCAGGAAGCTATATTCAGGAAGTGGGGAAATTAGGATTATGGGAAAGCTATCACCAATGTTCTTTGCTGCTCATAGTCCAGAACTGGGCACTGCTCAAAGCCAAAGAAAGAAATCCACCTTTACAGATGCCCACACATCTGTCCCCACATGTCTTTCCATGTGCTCTACTTCTATCTTACTGGTATTTATGTGCCTGGGCAAAAGCCTGGCTTCCAGTCTGAACCTAGAGAATGATCCCTTGTGTGACCTTGGGCAGGTCCCATTCCCTTTCTTGGTCTTAGTTTTCTTAAACATACAAATGGGGTGCAGAAAGAAGAGGAAAAACAACAGGCAGGAAGAGCACTAAGTTTGAAAAGCACTCAAGGCTGGTTTTGTCTGACAACATTCAGACTTTGGTCATGTTCCTAGAATGTACACTTCACCTGGGAGTTGAAGAAAAATACACATTTTGGCTTTATTTTTAAATGCATTTCTATTTTTAAATGACCATTCCCTGGAAATCTTTCAGTGTGTGACACAGTCTTCCATCCTCAGATCAAGTGCAGAGAGTTATTATACTCAGTACAGAATAAATAGTCCAGTTCACATGACTTTTTGTTGGAATCTATGTGATCTGCTTGTTATTCTCAGAGCTGGAACCTGCTTCAGTAACTCCCTAGACATATAAGGCTTTAAAACACTGAAGAATAGAAATCATTTCTCTTTCCTTAATCCCCACCCCAAACACATTCCTGGTTGACTTTCCCCTCTATAATAACCCAAGTGTGGCTCATGTTATCTCAGCTTTTGCCTTTTGATCCTTTTATCTAAACATTCAGTGGCTCCAGGCCCAGTGTCCATTATAGAGGCCTGACTTTTCTCCCTCTAATTAAAAAATTGAACCAAAATATTCCTGAAATAGTTAATTCTCTGTAAAACTAATTTGTATATTTTTTGTTTTGTCTTGTTTTGTTTTTTGGCAGAACCGGGGATTGAACTCAGGCCCTTCTACTTGCCAGGGAAGCACTTATTCCACTGAGCCATCTCCCCGGCCACTTAATTTGTATTCTTTTCCCTCAGCCACTGCACAGTCATCCTTCTCTCCAAACCAGAAATGTGAAGCACTGTGGAAGAAGTTTTCAAAACATTATACTTTTTTTTTTCCAGAACCAAGGATCAAACTCAGGCCCTTGTGCTTGCCAGGGAAGCGCTTATTCCACTGAGCCATCTTCCCAGTCCCTTTAAAATGTTTTTATAAATGATTTCCAGTAGAATTGTTTAGGAAAATTTTGCTACTGACCACCATTTATGAGGTGCCCACGTGAATGTCCCAGATGGAGTCTACAGGATTCTTCCAAATAGTTGTCTATTTGTCTCCTTGTGCCCCTCCAGTGATGAGGGACTCACTACCTTCAAAGGCATTCCCTTCCATCCTGAGCTAACTCTGCTTTGCCAGGAAAGTTTTCTTCTGCTTCCCTCTAACTTTCCTTCACTGGTCTTGCTTTGCCTTCCTGGACCCACACAGAACCTGCTTGTGCCCTTCAGAGATTTGGAGTGTGTACGTATCTTGTCTCTTGAGTTCTAAAGTATAAACACCCCTAGAACACCACCTTTCCCCATAGGTGCCACTTCTTGTCTGCCTCCAGCCTCTCAGACATGCCTCACTTTCCAATGTAGTTTGATTCCTTGGGGGCTGATACTTGCTTTGTCTGGACTCACCACCTTCCATTGATAAGGCCTGTTAATGACTGACCAGTTTATCACTAAGTCAATCAACCTTAGAATGTGCTGGGGAGTGAGTGTCCAAGGGGTGCTGCCTGTCTACATGCTGTGGAGAAGGCAGAAAAAGCTTTGTAAGAGGGCAATGTGTTTTCTGGGAAGTTCCAAAGAAAAGGTGGGCATTATGGTGACATGAGACAAAACACAGTACCTCAAAGAAAGGCTAAATTTTATAGCAAGTTCTATGAATATCCTAAGGATGGTATGGCAACAAAAGATTCCTTTACCACGTAGCTTAGGAAAGAACTAGATGTGTTAGGTTATATATGGAGAGATGGGGATTTCATGCAGGGAACTGGGGAGTTCACATTATCAGTGGTAAGGCCCAGAGGAAGATCAGCACTGATCCCCCCAAGCAGCATGGATAAGGCCTGCAGACCTTGTTACCACCTCAGGCCACTCTGGAGCCATTTGCACAGGACACATTCCTGAAACTGTGTTTCCAAGAATAGGTAGCCAGAGTTAAGCAGCCACAGCCACAGCTGCCACTCCACAAGCTGAAAAAGGGAAGGAATGCTGCTGAAAATCTTCCTGTTTCTGCCAGTCCTGCAGTTGATGCCCCAAAGGGACAAGCAAATACTCCTTCACTTTGTCCCTCTCTTTAGCATCTGGCTGACTGGCAGCACCCAGTTCATACACAGAACTCCAACTGCAAAGGGGGCTGGGAAGCCCAGCTGTTGGCTTTTGTACCTCTTCAGCAGGAGGTACAAAAGATGGAGTGAGATGGATTCTGGATGTCTGTCTTAGCAGCCTTCAGAGCAACAAGATGGAGAGCCCAAATGTCCAACAGTCAGTCGGGCATGGTGGTACATGTGCATAATCGCTGCACTTGGCTGGAGGATGATGAGTTGGAGTCCAGGCTGGGCTACATAGTGGGAGCCTGTCTTGAAAAAACAAAAGCCAAAACCAAAACTAAAACCAAAAAACAAACAACTGTCCAACAGAACTCCTACAATGGACTTGATGTATGCCTCCTTACAGAGGATACTGTCCATAGTATTAGGACCCAAAGCTCCTAATACAGTACTTACAGTGCTACGTGGGTTTTTTTTAGCATTAAAATAGAAACCAAGGGGCTGGGGAGATGGCTTAGTGGAATAAGCGCTTCCCCGGCAAGTGCAAGGGCCTGAGTTCAATCCCTGGTTCCACCAAAAACAACAAACAACAACAACAACAATAACAACAACAAACAAATAGAAACCATTATACGATTTCATTTTTATTAGAAGTTATTTTGAAAGATGCAGGGAAAAAGGACCAGCAAGATGAACATTCAGACCTTTTTTTTTTTTTTTAAATTTTATGTATTTAGTACAGGGTCTATAGGGTCTCACTACACAGATTGGACTCGTAGTGATCCTCCTGTTTTCAGCCTCCCAAGTGCTGGGACTACAAGCGTGAGCCACCGTGCAGTTTCAATCAGTATCTCAATGCACCCTGGGTATGGGGTCAGCATGGCTTGTGGCTGGGGATGGAGACCATCCAGTCTTTTTTTTTGAATCCAGGATTGAACTCAGGCCCTTGTGTTTGCCAGGGAAGCGCTTATTCTATTGATCCATCTCCCCAGGCCCATCCAGTCTTAATAATGGTTACCTCTGGGTGACAGGATTACAGGTAATTTTATTTTCTTCTTTGTTCATCCTTTTTATGTTTTCCAAATATATATATATATATATATATATATATATATATGCCAAAAAAAGTAATTTTCAAATTTATATGCCTGGAAAATATATAAATATATTTTATATTATATATTACTTATATAAATAAATAATTAAATGTATAATATATTATATATAATATATATTTGTCCTTAAACTCTTGAACGAACTGGAGAAAACAGGAGTGAAAGTTCGAAAAGTAGTAACTCGGGTAAGAATGAGGGAGAAGCAAGGCAAGAAGGGGTTAAAAGATGGCACTGGAGTCCAGCGCCCGAGAGCCAGGAAGAATCTTACTGTTGGACCAGGGAAGCTCCTTCCCATTCTGGGTTGTTTCCTTTGCCAAACAGGCACCCTAGACCTGTCTTGAGCCACGCAGCCGCCCACCCACCCACCCACCCACGGAGACAATGGCGCGCTGGCCCGGGCGAGGCGCCCCGGGAGGAGCGTGCAGGGCCAGGGGCTTCCCCGGAGGCGGGGAGGCGCTCCCCACCCGGCCCGGCCCAGGCGGAGCCTCCCCTGCCGAGGCCGCAGCGCTAGGCGGGGCCTGTCGCGGTCTGGCAGCGCCGCGGGACTGCCCCGGGAGAGCCGGCCCTCCTCTGGACCAGGACTGGAGCTGCCCACGGAGCCGTGTCTGCCGCAGGTAGCTAGCGCCCTTCCCCCCGGGGCTCCGGCAGCCCCCTGCCAGTCCCTGCGTGTGGCCTCGCTCTCCGAGCCTCTCTACCCCTTCCCACCTTCTGTCCTGTCAGGCTAGGTGGCCGGGGGACACAGACCTCCCACGCCGTCCGGTTAGCTCGACCCCAGCACCCCAGCAGTCCGCCCTCTGCAGCCAGGCCCCGATGCAGCCAGGGGTGGGCATTGAGCGCTGCCAGGTCTCCAGCGCTGGAAAGCAGCGTCCTGCTCTGGCGGGCCCTCGTACAAGGCGAACTGTAAAAAATTCTCCAGGAAATGAGAAGCTAGGTCTGTGGAAACTCAGGATGAAGTTCCCGTACTTTCTCGCTTTCTGTCTGTAGTGCGTCCCTAAAGGACCAAAGGTTCCAATTTTTTTCCAGAATAGGGGTTACCGTTGGGTCTGAATACCCAGGGTGGCGCAGGGAGGTTTGGTGAATTTACACTAAGATGGTCGGCACATGATCAAGGGTGCGCCACCTGTGAGCAGTGCTCTGACTCTATGCCTGTGGAGGTGATATCCAGCCCTCATGTAGGCCCTGGGTAGGAATAGCCTCGGCATGACCTTTTAAAAGAAGATTGCCAGAACCCACTCGGGTTCCCTTTTGTCCCTGTTTGGACAGAAGCTTCCTTTCCCCCAATAAATATATTCTGCTTTTAAATAAATACATAAAGTTTGCCAGCATTGACCATCCCTCGTGCCTGCTGTTCACCTCCAACTGTCCACCTTGTGGGTGGGTGAACTCCTCTTTCCTCCACTTCCCCTGGGACTCTTCCACTCCTAGCCCCATGCCTCTTGGTGCAAGGTTGCTGCTGCCCCAGTACGTGACAGGACCCTGCTCAAAATGGAACTTAGGTGCACCTTTGCCATCGCCACCGTGCTGGCTCTGTGTCCCTCAGAGGAAAGGCTTTCTGCCCAGCAGTGACACTGTGGGACTCTCCTGAATGAGTTCTTTGTTCTGCTCCCTGCACGAGTGTGGAGTGTGGTGAGTGCTGGGGCTCAGGGCAGGCAAGTGCAATTCCATTTTGCAGCTAGATTGGGCGAGACTCATGCCAGACAGCAAAGGTAGAGGAAGGACTTTAATCCTAGCCAGAGAATAACTGTTTCAGCTAGTTTAAGAACTTTATACAGTTTGATGTTCATCTAATAAATTTTAGGCACTGTTTAAATTTTCTAGCAGTTGTCTTATTAAATTTTATGCTGTTTTCAGAGCCATAGTTGAGAATAAACAGACCTCTTTTCCCAGTGGCCGCCCTATTTGCTGTGCCTCTGGAAAAGCTGAGGGTGGAGCTGGGACAGGCTGAAACTTAGGACTGGGGGAGGCTGGGATGGTTTCTGAGGCACAGTCTGCTCTGACTCCAGGGTAGAATGTATCTGGCTTTTTGTAAGTTAAGACCCCATCCAGCATAACTCAGGGCAGCATTTCAATATTGGGACACTGAGGGTCAAGGTGATGCTTTAAAGCAAACATCTCTGTCTTGTGAGTAACGCTGTCTCCAAATGCCCTTGGTTTCTACTCAAGTTGTAAGTCACTTCCTCAGTGGCCTTTGTGACCATCTGGATGTTGCTTACTGTATCATTCAAACTATTGAGCAACTGTTCTGTAGCAGACAGAATCAGGGACATAGCAGCAAATAAAACATATGATCAGTCAAAGATCACCGCCCCTACGGAACTTACAATCACTGGAAGGAGGCAGCCAGTAAACATATACACATGTAAATACAGTATTTGGAATGTGAGCCCAAAGAATCAAAGTGGGGTATATGGGAGGGAGCTTATTGGGTAGGAGAAATTGCAATGTTACAAAGGGTGCTTAGGGAAGGTCTTGCTGAGGAAATAATATTTAAGCAGAGACCCAGAAGAGGTGTGGGTATAAGCCACAGAGTTAGGGAACATGGTAGAATTAGATCCCTTACAATACATATTTTTAGAGTTGAATAAGAATGTCCAAGTTGGTGGGCTTTGGGCGACCTCTTTGCTCCCTGCTGTCTGTTCACCCTGGTTCTATCTATCCCTCTCCAGAGTAGCCAGCATGCTGCGCTGCCTGGTGCCCCGTCTGCTGTGCCTCCAAGGCAGGACTGCCCAGTACTCCTCAGCTGCAGCCCTCCCCAACTCCATCCCGAACCCGGACATCCGCTACAGCCAGCTCTTCATCAACAATGAATGGCGTGATGCAATCAGCAAGAAGACCTTTCCCACAATCAACCCTACCACAGGAGAGATCATTGGACATGTGGCTGAAGGGGACCGGGCTGATGTGGATCAGGCTGTGAAAGCAGCCCGGGAGGCCTTCCGTCTGGGGTCACCATGGCGCCGTATGGATGCCTCAGAGCGAGGCCGACTCTTGAACCGATTGGCTGACCTGGTGGAGCGGGATCGTGTGTACTTGGCCTCACTGGAGACCTTGGACAATGGGAAGCCTTTCCAAGAGTCTTACGCCTTGGACCTGGATGAGGTTATCAAAGTGTACCGCTACTTTGCTGGCTGGGCTGACAAGTGGCACGGCAAGACCATCCCCATGGATGGGGAGCATTTCTGCTTCACTCGTCATGAGCCTGTGGGTGTCTGTGGCCAGATCATCCCATGGAATTTCCCCTTAGTGATGCAGGGCTGGAAGCTTGCCCCAGCACTCGCCACAGGCAACACTGTGGTTATGAAGGTCGCTGAGCAGACCCCTCTTTCTGCCTTGTACTTAGCCTCCCTTGTCAAAGAGGCTGGCTTTCCCCCTGGTGTGGTGAACATCATCACAGGCTATGGCCCTACAGCAGGAGCAGCTATTGCCCAGCACATGGATATTGATAAAGTTGCTTTCACTGGCTCCACTGAGGTAGGCCACCTGATCCAGAAAGCTGCAGGTGATTCCAATCTCAAGAGAGTCACCCTGGAGCTGGGTGGAAAGAGCCCAAGCATTGTGCTGGCTGATGCAGACATGGATCATGCTGTGGACCAGTGTCATGAAGCCCTCTTCTTCAACATGGGCCAGTGCTGCTGTGCTGGTTCTCGGACCTTCATTGAAGAATCTATCTATGATGAGTTCCTCGAGAGAGCTGTGGAGAAAGCCAAGCAGAGGAAAGTTGGAAACCCTTTTGAGCTGGATACCCAACAAGGTCCCCAGGTGGACAAGGAGCAGTTTGACCGAATCCTGGGCTATATCAGTCTTGGCCAGAAGGAGGGGGCAAAGCTTCTTTGTGGTGGGGAGCGTTTTGGGAAGCATGGTTACTTCATCAAGCCAACGGTCTTTGGTGAAGTGCAGGATGACATGAGAATTGCTCAGGAGGAGATCTTCGGGCCTGTGCAGCCTCTGTTCAAATTCAAGAAGATCGAGGAGGTGATTGAGAGGGCTAACAACACCAGATATGGGCTGGCTGCTGCTGTGTTCACGCGGGACCTGGACAAGGCCATGTACTTCACCCAGGCTCTCCAAGCAGGGACTGTGTGGGTGAACACATACAATATTGTGACCTGCCACACGCCATTTGGAGGCTTTAAGGAATCTGGCAATGGGAGGGAGTTGGGGGAGGACGGGCTTCGAGCCTACACGGAGGTGAAGACAGTCACCATCAAGGTTCCTCAGAAGAACTCGTGAGAACAGCCTCACAGAGGCCCAGCCCCATGTCCAGCCATTTCACAGCCAGCTGAAACAGTGGTTGCCAAATGAGTTTTAGGCATGAGACCCCTTTATTTGTTCCAAATACAAGGGAACCCCAACAAATCAGGCAGTTAAAGTAGAGCTATTCTACTTGAAACAGGCCCAGAGTCTAGGCTCAGAGTCTTACCCACCAGCTCCCCAGCCCCTGATTACTTGATGGCACTTGATTTACTTCTGTGAAAGCTTAGCAGTCTCTGGAAGACCAAATAAAAACCACTGATTAGATGGACAGTCACTTAGTCCTTTCTGCAGATCCAGGTACTTTGTAGCAGATTAATTTAGTGGCTTTGTGGATGGACTCAACTCAGACATAAGATTGAAAGGTGTTAGAAACTCTGAACTAAGTGGACATTCAATCTTGGTCCTCTTCATCAACATAAGTGGAAAACCAAGGCTGCTTTTTTCTTCTAAGTACCAATTGTTGGCTGTTTTGTTTGCTTGTCCTTTTTGCTCCTGGTTTTTCTTAATCTGAAGGAAGAGGTAGGCAAAGCATGAAATTACATAATCATACCTTCAAAATGTCTGTCAGCTGTTGTGCAGATAAACAAAATGTTTGCATGGAGTATTCAACTATTAACCACAGGAAGAATGAAGTACTTCTTTTGAGATCATGCTCTATGAAAGAAGCCACACATTCAAGGCTACATGTTACATGTTTGCATTTATATGAAATGTTCAGACAAGCAAATCTATAGAGATAGCAAGTACATTAGTGATTAACGAGGGCTAAAGAAGAAGTGAATGGGGCCTAACTGCTTGTGGGTATGAAATCTTTTAGGGGGATATTTTGAAAATATTCTGGAATTGGACAGAATATTCTGGTTGTACAACTTTGCAAATGTATTAAAAAGTGTTGAATTATACCTTAGTTATGGTATATGAATTAATTTTATTTAAAAAAGTGATATGTTCTGTTTTCAAATCCATTTTATTGCAATATTTTCTTGCTGCTAAACATTATAAGAGTCTGAGGAGTAGGTAGGGACCCACAGAATCATCTAGTCAGCCCCCAGCCAGGTGCAAAAGTCCCTGGCATAACACTTCTATTCTTGTTTCATTTTTTCTTAGGTAATGACAAAGTACAGATTTAAGACCCATAGAGAAAAAGCTCTGGTTCCCACCCAGAGCAAGTCCATCTCACTTCTGGACTTCCACTCACATTTTTGTCCCCAACCTCAATGAACACAACGTCCCTCAAGCATCAGAGTCATCCTGACATCTCGGAGATTTCTAAGTTGCAAACCTCAGCGTTCACTATCTGTATTGTTAATCTTGTTGCTTTCATTTCCCCATGTGATGAAAGTGATGTTAAACTCAAGCCAGCCAGGCAAGGTCAGAAACAAACTACTGAGCCTATCTCTTTCTCTTTTGTCTTTTTGAATCATGTTGCCTCCAAATTGCCTTATGGTTAAGTCCCTTTGTTCTACTGAGTGCACACCCCAGTCATTACCTGAATATCCTCACATCAAGATGATTTTTTTGCTATCCTTTTTTTTTTTTTTTTGTGGAACTGGGGATTGAACTCAGATCCTTGTGTTTGCCAGTCAAGCGCTTATCCTACTGAGCCATCTCCCCGGCCTGTTGTTTGCTATCTTAACTTAGGTTTGACCTGAAACTTTCATGAGGGCTTAAGGTCTGCGTGGTTCCCCCATCTCTCTTCCTAGGATCACTTCCCCATGCCACTTGTCTAAGGCTGAGGCAATGCAGACTCCCTTCTCAAGTACAAAAGGAGGTTCCTTTGGACAGAGGCTGGGATATGAGAGTGAGGGTTGGGGGGGGGGTCATTTGTAATGCTACCATCACCAACACAGTGTGTTAACCCAGCTGTCTTAGTTACTTTTCTGTAGTTGCTGGGATAAATACCCAACACTCAAGCTTAGAGAAGAAAAGGTTTATTTAACTCACAGTTACTGGAGGTCTCAAGATACTGGAGGACAGGCTAGAGCACTGCTGTGTCCAGGATGACCCTCTCCACACCTCTGAGAATGCACAGGCTAGCCAGTTTAATAGTTCACATCCCTCTGGCCCTGCTCTTCAAGCCATTTGGTGCTCCTCCTGCCATGTCTGCCCCATAATTTACATGAGGCTTTGGTTGGAGGGATAACTAGACACAAACCATAACATTCCACCCCTGGACCTCCAAAGTCTCATGCACATCCCTTTGTCCAAAAGACATTTTAGTCCATCTCTAAGAGTTGCCAAAGTCCCAACAGTTTCAGCATTGCTGAAAAGTCCAAGTCCAAAGTCTCCTCCAAGATGCAAGGCAAACTCTCAACTGTGAGCCCCGTACAAATAAAAAGTTAAATACATTCAACATTCAAAGGCACAAGATAAACATTGCCATTCCAAAATTATACACAAAAGAATGCAAACCATTGGGGCCAAAACAAGTCCAAAATCCAGCAGGGCAAACATTAAGTCCTATAGTTCCATGTGGAATATCTGAAGCAATCTGTGGCAAATTGTGAGCTCCATGTGGCTCCACCCCTATGGTGCTTCTGGTGGTGGTAGCTCCCATGACTTCTGTCTTAGGCCTGCTTTGCTCCCTCTTTCCAGTTTTCCTTAGATGATCCACGTCCCTGGCTTTTCTAAATTTCTGGGGTTTCCACTGACTAGGCTTCTCACATCTTCACACACTGCCCTCTCAGGGGCACACTGCCTGCCCGCCCAGGCCTTCTTCTGAAATCTGGGTAGAAGCCTTCTTAACCTCAGAACTCCTGCATTCTGTGTGCACCTAAAACCAGTGTCATGTGGATGATTCCCAGGTCTGCTGCCAGCTGGAGCCAGACTTTCCTATCTCTTGGCTGCAGGGGTCGAGTGCCTGGATCACTGAGCACTCTGACGCTGATTCCGAGGAATAAATTCTCTATGCTGGCACCATTCTGTAATCTGGTGTGGCCACCACCTGCGTTCTGGAACATGGGGCTCTGAGGCTTTCTCCCCAAAGCAAAGTCTCTCATCCTCGCTATGCTGATTCCGAGGCTGCAAAGGGCAAAAACCTGCCACCTCCTGTGATACTCTCAGGACATCTTTTCTATTCTCCTGTTCCTCCTGGGCAATGGAGATCTCAGCTCTATCTTTGTATTCCACAGCTCTACTTGAGCTTCCTTTCTGACCAGACTCACAACATTTTATGTTATCCTGCTGAGCTCTTTACACTTGATGCTCTACATAAATCGGACTGAAAGCCCCCAGCAAGGCCATGCCACTGCCCCAATATTTGACTGCTTTGAGATTTCCTTTGAAAGGTTAATCAGTCCTCCATGTTTAATCTCAGTCTCAGGCAAAGTCTCTGGACACAGGCAAAATTCAGACGTTGTTCTGCCAAGCCAAAATACAAACAATCTGGAGTCCA